GCATGTGAGCACCATCCTGCCATGGTTTCCTTTACCTCTCTGGTCATCGTGGTGTTGTTACTGGACAGGGGCCTGGCCAGCAGTGGGTCTGTCGAGGCCAGCTGTAGTGTGTGGGTTCTTGACTTCGCGTCAGAAAGATTTCTCAACACAAGTCCAGGTGACTATGACGATACAGTTACTGAAGCTGGAGATAGTGAAACAAGGAAGGACTTAGCATAGAAGAAGCAACAGGGAAGCCCAGGCAGGGCTGGCTGAGCTCCTTGGGAAGCCAGAGAAAAGAGGGCCTTGGGGACAGGTTCAGGGGATCAGCCTGGGACAAGCCACTGCTGCCCACTGCCTTAGAGTTTAGGAGATACGTGCTTGTGAGCAAAGAAGTCTAGGGCTTGGGGGTGGGGAACGGGTGTTGGAGAAGAAGGGAAAGGAAATAGCATGGTTCTGGCTGCTCCCCAGAAGGAGAGCACACACACTGACTCCTTTGTCTTGAGCCTTTTATCCCCTTGCAAGCAGGAATTATACGGGAGGTCTCAGGGGAGGATTTCAGTAGAACATTCATCACTTCTCCAGGTGTGTCCTTTTAGGGTCCTGGTCTCCACTGATGGGTCAGTGACTGGGCAGGGGTCTTCAGTCATGGCATCTGATCCTAGTGTTGCCCACCTGATTTTGCTGCTTTTCTGGGCCTGGAGCTGAAACACAACTGAGGACTAGATATTGTTTCCAGGGAGGAGAAGCCTGGAGAGGGGAGATTGCCCTGGGGCTGAGGTCCTTGCTTTCTCAGTTTTGCCCCTGCCAGACACTGGGGACCTTCTGCCCTGATGATATCTGCCCTGGCTGTGAATTACTCAGCCATTGTGTTCAGCTGTCTGTCTCAGTTTCCCTAGTCCACTGGGCAAGGAATTTCAGGGTCTTCTTATAGTCCTGTCTCAGTGGGACTGGATTGTAGCCCACATTGCTGGGACCCACACACCCCACCTGGATGCTTTTCCAGTCCAGGGAAACCAGCCTCCCAGTACATGGGTAGATAGCACTGGGCTGCTGTTCACACTCCTGAACTGCCACATGGCCCTGTCTGCAGGACCTTCTGGGAAAATTGCTGGCCCTGATGAAGCCCAGGTTTCTTTAATACTTGCAGCCCCTTCCCTTGCTCAGTGGCTGTCTACTGCCATTCGTGGCTCCCCATATCTTCCCTGGATCTGCTGCTGAGAGTCCAGAGCACCACTCAGGCTCTGGCTGGACAGGTGCACAGATAAGCAGTAATCGAATGACATGAAAGGAAGATCTGATAAAGCAGGAGTCAACTCACCTCCTTACTGACTCGTATGAAAAACACGAGCAGTGTAAACCTGTGCTGCCTCCCCAGCTCCTCTTTCACTCCAGTGCACCTCCCAGCTCCTGGATGGAGCCTAGTGAGCAGTAACAAACCACTTTATCATAATGATAGCAGCAAAAGCAACCACGGAGGCTTGTACAGTGCTTTGCAAGTTGGTCTTCATCATCTTATGTGAGGTATCATAAATATACACACATTTCAATTGTTCAGCCAGCTGTGTTGTATTGGGAATTACTGATACTCCCATGTTCAAATAGGATTATGAACACTTTCAAATGACACCCAGGGAACTAGAATTGGGATTGTTCCACTCAGAAGTAAGAAGGGCACATTTTTTATTTGATAGCAATATGTTCTTGGAATGACTATAATATTACAAATTATAGCTGGCTGCCTTCCATCTCTACCAGTGTCCGAACAATTTAAAGTCTGAAACATAGTGAATGCAGGTTACATGGAAGAGAGGTGTTTCCTGCCCTAGATGTTAGATTTGATGACCAAAGTAGCTTGGGAGTGTCTCTTTGTTCTTACATAGCTTTGCTTGGTCTCACTGCAGATGCGAGTCTGCACTGCAGTGTGTCTGTCCTGATGTGTTGGGCTCTCTGAGCTCTTCTGAGCGCTCCTCAGCTTGTAGGTCATTTTGATTGATCTTTTCAACCCTGGCTTTTATCTCACCAGATTTTATATCTGAGAGAGTAATTTTAGCCTATTACTCATTTATACTTACAGATCAAAAACTATTCTTAAGTGGCAGTTAACTAAAATATTGGACTCTCCTTGGGGTCCTTTTGGCCTCTTAAAGTGCCTCTAAAAATTGTGCAAGTAAAAAAATGATGTCTTATATCCTACATAGTGCAAGAGATACATGTATAAAGTGTTTTCAACTTTAGAAAAAAAGATTTATCAAGCTATAAGCTTTAGGTATAAATCTGTGAAGGAATGAAGGCAAGGGGGAAGAGGAAGAGAGAGAAGAAAGAAGTAAGGAAGGACATTTTTCACAGGACATGCACTTTTCAAGTTTGACAAGACTGGACCTTGATCCTAACTCTCATACCACTGCTATTTCTTTTTGCTTCAGCTTCCTCACCCACAAGCTAGGTACAACACCACTTCTCTGTGCAGTTCTGAGAATTAAATGAGAAAATGCACAGTATCAAAGCCACAGCATTGATACTCAACAAATGTCACTTCCTGTATTACCAGCACCATTTAAGGGAGAGTTACTTAAGGGACCTTGATCTTGTCCCTGGAGCATTTGGCTTCCTGTCTAAAGTGTGGCCTTCCTCTTGGGCATGGCATTGCCTGTGCCTACGTTGCCTTTCAGAAGAAGGCTGTCTGGTTGGGGCCGGGCCTGTCCATGCAGGTGCCCAGTCACCATGAACGGTAACCAGATATAAAGTCTTGCTCTCCTTCCCAAAAATCACAGGCACTATAGGTCTGGATGGGTTTGGAAATGGGCTCGGTCTCTTAAGAGCAGTGGAGCCAATTCCCTTGGCAGCCTGGCCTGCTTCCCACACCCCCAACCCAGGCTCTGCTGTCCACAGTGTCTGGTTCCAGTGCTCAGGACTGCGAGCAAACTGGGCATGTTGTAGCCCCCACCTGGTATTTCCTCTGCTTTTGTAAACATACAAACCTCTTCAGAAACTAGAAAATGAAAGTGTTCCCCATTTCCAAAGCACCCTGTAGGCCTCATCAAATAGCTGTTGGACCAAAAGAGACTTTTGAAGCCAAAATTCCAGATGATCAGCTTACTAGGAAGCCCAGCTCTTATACATTCACTCTGACACTGAGCCAGGCCCCTTCCAACAAGGTCATTCTCAGGTTTTTATGTAACGCAGATGCTTAGCAACTCTTAAAATTTGGTTGTGCTTGAGTCATGAAAACTGTATGAAGGGACGTTGTTACAGTTGTATGTCTCTTCCTGCCAGGTAGCCTCCCCTGGGTAAATGTGGTTGCAGCAGGTTAGAGAACAGGCACATTACTGCAAGCAGGTGCTTTAGGGAGGTTCTGTGGTCCACAGGATCATCGTGAACCCAGGTGGAAGCGAAAAGAGGTTTGATAGCAAAGACCCTAATGCCCATGGGGCCTGGCTTCTTGGCGTGTCTGTTTTTTAGGTGAGTGGTGTGTGCGACGTGCAGCACCACCCCTACCCCCTCTGGCCTCAGTTTCTTTACTGTAAGCTGGAGCTTTTGACTTCATCTTTCTGGGCCATAATAGCTCAAACTGATGCTGAGGGAGCCTAGATAAAAAGCTCATACAAGATTAGAGGCTATTTGCATCTAAAACCCTCAGGAAACCTCACAGGAAACACATTGTATCACATTTCTTATTTCACATTTCTGTCTGCAGTTTACACGCACACTCAGGGAATTCTATAACGTCTCCCCTGAACCCCCTTGCAGCTGAACCTCATGCCCTGCTCCTCTTCACACTTCCTTCCGCCCATGGCTTCTGGTACAGATGCCTCCCCGCCTTTTCAGGGCAGTGAGCATTTTACCGAGGAGTGCTGCATGTGGCTTGGGCACAAGGAGGGAGAAGCAGTCAGTGTCCACTGCTCCAGAAAAGACAGGCCGTTCACCACCTCTCTGCACCTTGGCTGGCTTTGCCAGCTTCCTGCTTCCCAGGATGGGGTGTCCGGAGGAGGAGGAAGACCTCACTGCCTCCCAGCGCCCAGTGGCTGTGGAGAGAGTAGAGAAGGAGCCCCACACTTTCCCATGTCCTCTGACCAGACCAGAGGGGCTCCGACTCAGCCCTAAGTGGGTGTCACTTCTGCAGGCTCCACCTGGCCCTGCCCAGACTGTGTCAGTGCATTTACACAGCCACGATGGCACCCTGCCTGACTATTAAAGAGTTAGTGGGCTTTGGAACTGACATTTCATTTGGGACATTATCATTTGGGACAAGCTCTGTGAATCAGGGAAGAAACTCCTGCTGGGATAAGCCAAGTCAGGGAGAAAGAAGCAGGAGGGGGAGGTGTGCAGATGTGAGAGGGGGAGGTACACTAGAGCCACAAGGAGCCCAAGGCACTGGCAGGATCCGCCATCGCCATAGGCTGCCATATAAAGTTGGACGTGGGTTTCTTCCTCATGATTTACCAAGTAGCTTCCAGCGTCCCTGCCTGTCCCAAAGGGACAGCTCCTTTCCCCCAGTGACCCTCATGACCCCAGTGTTAGGGGTGCCAGCAGGGTTTTCTCCTGCTGAGAAGCCTTCACACTGTGGACAGAAGAGGGAGGTCAAGGGGCAAACCATGAGAACGGCCCCGTAGGTTTTCATGATCTTTTTGTTTTGGTCCAACTGTTGTTGATCGGCGCTGTACCTGATGATGATGGTGGTTATGATGATGGTGATGATGATGAGTCTTCCTTGGTCAAATAAGACTGGGAAATCCTAGACAGAGCTTATCAGATGGGTTAATTTGATAATAAGGCTCCCAGAGCCTTTAATATACCAGCCAGAAATTCCTTAGTGTTTTGAGGTTTAAAGGCCCCTTTTCAAGATTTGGGCAACACCAGGCTGTTCCTGGTTCCAAAATTAAATGTACGCCCTGCAGACTTGAGTAGTTTCCTGTCTTGCATTACAGCAAGCCCGAAGATGGATACCCATTTTCCCACAGTCTCATTCCTATTCTGTTACTGTGCACAATGGATAATTAACACTGCTTTCCCCCCCACAGAACATTGACATTACCAATTTCAGCAGCAGCTGGAGTGACGGCTTGGCCTTCTGTGCTCTCCTGCATACCTACCTGCCCGCTCACATCCCGTACCAGGAGCTGAACAGCCAGGAGAAAGTGAGTCCCTGCCCGTCACCCTGAGTGTTCTCCAGAACTCGGCCTGGTGGGGTGGGGATTAGAGACAGAAAGTAGAAATGAGGATGTTGGTACCAGGTACAGATAACTGCTGAGTGTGTGGCTGTACTACAGGGCCCCACCCTCAGTAAATGCTTCTCAGGGTCACTTCTCAACAGAGACCTTTGTTACCTAGGAAAACATAGTGAAGACCCGCTTACATGGCCACTGAGAAGTTCCTGTCGCTCGTTTTCCAGAGAAAGTCCTAACGGAATCTGACCTTCATGGTATGGAGACCTTGGCCCCCTTTTTCCAAAGTCTTCAAAGAACCAACAAACATCACGAAAGAGTTCCCTGCTCAAATACACTTGGGAAACAGTACTTTCTGTCATATTTTTAGAGATTGGCTGTGCTCGTTGGTGCAGTCGGGGCTTTAGGTCCTTCATTAAAGACTCTTTGTGGCCCCATCTGCCCTGGCATAGATCACATCTACCAAGCCTTCTTTTTTGAAGTACCTGCAACAGGAGTTGGCAGACCTGTCCTGTTAAGGGCGAAATAGTGTACTCCGTGGGTCTCAGTTATGGCTCAAGTCTACCATTGGAGTGCCCAAGTCATCATGGGCAATGTGGGCAGGCTGTGTTGCAACAAAACTTTATTTATAATAACAGGCTGCAGGCCAGATGCAGCCCACAGGCTCAATTGTCAAAACACCAACCTGGAACACCTTGAAGAATCCTGTTGCACAGTGTGCTTCGGAAAACGCTTGGTGGTCTCTGCACTCATTCATCCAACGCGCATTTCCTGCTGAGCTTCATGAGCAGTAATACAGACAGCAGGGAGCAATGCAGACATATTCTCCACCCTCATGAGACAGTCAATCAGCAAGTGAGAAACCTGTAAGGAACATGATAAACACACTTATAAACCATGGGAGGGCCATGAGACAGTGCGGTAACAGTGAACAGTGGGAGGATGATTCAGATGAGGAGCTTGAGGAGGTCTTCCTGAGGAGACATGACTTCACCTGCATCTAAAGAAAGAACATGAAGGGCCCAGCAGTGCTTGGAGCTAAGGGGAGCTTTCCAGGGTTGGGAAGCACAGAGCAAGAAGACACCTTGATGCAGTCCAGGCCACAGAGGCAGGCCAGCTGCCTGAGGTGCATGAGGGTGGGCAGGGTGTAGGTAGACTAGAGCCTGCAGGGCTCCTGGGTGTCACTCTGCTGCTAGAAGTTAGCATTTTGCTCCAGGTACTATGGGAAGTCGTTGAAGGAGTCCAGTCTATGAAGAGACACTATTCCTATTTTTCAAAGATCTCTGGCTGTTTTGTGAAACAAAATGAATTGGAAAGAAAACAAGATTGAAACAAGCTACCAGCTGGGCAGCTGTTTGGAGTGGTCACTGTGAGAACTTGGTTTCTCCAGCTTCACCCATTAGCTGGGGTGGTGATTTTACAGCAGGTCTATCTGTGGCCCACTGTAGTGTGTGGTCTCTTAACTTCATGTAGGAAAGATTTCACAACATGAGTCCAGGTAACTATGAGGGTATGGTTATTAAAGCCGAGCACAGTGAAACAAGGAAGGGCTTAGTATAGAAGAAGCAACAGGAGAGCCCAGGCTGGGCTGCCTGAGCTCACTGGGAAGTCAGAGAAAAGGGGCCCTGGGAAGAGCTTCAGGGGGTCAGCCCTGGTTGAGCTGCTGCTGCTCATTGTTCTAGAGTTTGGGAGACAGACAGGTGTGCCTGTGAAGAAAGAAGTGGGGGAAGAAGGGAAGTGAAATGGCACCGCTGCTCCCCATAGAGAACACATGAGGGCTGGGTCCTTTGTCTTGAGGCTTTTATTTCCCTCTCACAGGCGGGAATTTTAGGGGAGGTCTCAGCAGAACATTCATCAGTTTTCTAGGTGGGACCTTTTAGGGTCCTGGTCTCCACTGATTGGTCAGTGCCAGGGCAGGGGGTTGTTAGTTATTGCATAGGTTCTGGCATCGCTCACCTGGTTTTGCTGCTTTTCTGGGCCTGGAGCCGAAACACAACTGAGGTTGTGTTTCAACCTAGATGTTGTCTCCAGGGAGGAGAGGCCTGGGGAGGAAAGGTTACCCTGGAGCTGAGGTCCTCATTTTCCCCATTTTGCCCCCTGCCGTGCACTCAGGGGCCTTCCCCCCGTGACTGTCTGCACCTGGCTATGAAATGCTTGGCCATGCTGTGTTCAGCTCTCATCTCAGTTTCCCTAGTCCACTGGCCAAGGAATTTTCCTGTCTTCTCGCTACCCTGTCTCAGTGGCAATGTGTATAGGAAGATATTCGAAATATGTCTTGGAAATAGAGTCAGCTAGACTTAGTGACTGAGTGGTTGTAGGGGAGGGTCCGAGGAAAGAGTCAACAGTGACTGCAGGTGTCTGGCTTGACAGGACCATTTTCTGAGATGGAGAAGGAATAGGTAGATATCTTTAAAAGTTCTATTTTGATTATCCCACATTAAAATAAATAGTCCAAAGAATGGTTATGGCACTGATGGTGAGAATAACTAAACAAAGGGATTTAATTTTTTAGAGTGTGTGTTAGGATTCTCCATAGAAACAGGAATTGCCTCACATAATTGCAGAGACAGAGAAATTCAGAATGTGCAGGACAGGTTGGCAGTCTGGAGACACAGGAAAGAACCGATGCTGCAATTCGAGTGTGAAGGCAGTCTGCTGCCGAATTCCCTCTTCTGAGGGAGAGATCCATCTTTTTTATTAAGGCTGTGAACTGATGAAATGAGGCTCACCCACATTATGGAGGGTATTTTGCTCTACCCGAAGTCTACTATTGTAAACATCAATCTCATTTTTAAAATACCTTCACAGATTGTGTCTCAGCCTTTGGGCTAAGACCAAGTATAGTATCTGTTGTTATCAGTTTAAAAATACCTTCACAGAAACATCTAGAATAATGTGTGGCCAAATATCTGGATACCGTGGCCTAGTTAACCATCACAGCGTATTAAAATTTCACAGCACTTTTCTATGTGGGTTATTAAACATTTGGAAAACAACAAATGAATTCTGTTTTGAACTGTGTTAAGATGTCTATGAGGTGTACAGGCAGCAAGGTCAGGCAAGCAATTGGATAGCAAATTGGGAGTTCAAAGGGAACTCAGAGCTGGAAAGACAGATTTGGGGTCTTCAGTGACTAGATCCACAATACCCGAACTTCATGAAATGCTGGAAATGTTCTGTATCTGTGCTGTCTAGTCTGGTCACTACTGGCCACATGGACTCTTGAGCACATAGAATGTGGCAAGTGTGACTGAAGTTTTGAATTTTTTATTTTGGTTACTTTTCATTTAAATAGCCATATGGCTACTATATTGGATAGGATAGACATAAGCAATATTTAAAGCCTTGAGACAGAATGCACCAAGCCTCTAATCATGCAGTTGGTTCCCCTGGCCACCACCCCATCCTGCAGTTTTCTAGGGGTTTTCCAAAAGACACCTGCCTCACCTTGATCACTCTGAAGTCATCCCTAAAGACAAAACCCAAGTGTTATAACAAAAGATGCCCCTGTGGCTCTAATATAAGAATTTACAAGGGCTTTAGGGGCTTCATGCCAGGAACAGTGGACAAAGACCAAATAAGATTTCTTATAACAAATCACAGTACCACAGAGGCATAAAGAAAAGACCAAGGAAGAAACCTTGAAGATTCCAGTGCTCGTTTCAGTGGAAGGTTTGACCCAGCAAAGAGAGGCAGAAAGGAGCAGTCAGCCCAAGCCCAGCAGTGACCTTGGCCTTCCTCTCCTTCCTGCCCTTTCCACTCTTTGGTCTCTGCCATTTCCATCTGACATTACCAAGGTAATTCAGTAAACAATGGGCATAAAACAATTCAAAATAATCAGAAGACCTTACTAAAACTAGTAAGTGTAAGTCTCTGCACTGATACACACCCTGTCTAAAGCAGGTGTCTTTGTGAGAGTGTGAAGTATCTGTCTACACTCATGCAAATACACCTGGGCTCTTTGTCCTTCAGTCAATAAGGATCTGTTGGAAAATAATGAGCCTAAAATGTTTGTTTTTACACTTTGATGTTGTGAGCATGCTTTCCGGGGCCTAAAGCTGCACCGTCCTGCTCTGCATGCCCAGTGATCCCTGCACACCATGCACAGCCAGCTTCCAGGGACCTGCTGCAGCCATGGAAATGTTCTGTTAGCACAAACAGACCACACAATTTACTCACTTCCCATTGTCCTCATGGTACCAGCAGGGTTGAAATTCTTCTCCATTGTCAGTAATGTTGTCATCAGGGAGCACCTAAGTCAGATTGTGAGTCTGTGAAGAGGTGAAGGAGTCAGATCCAGATCGCTGGAATTTCCATTTTCAGGCCTCTATGGCTTCATAGCCTCCTTGTTAGCTGGAGTTGGGTCTATGTCCTAGAGCCTTGGACTCTGTCTGCTGGTTACCACCTGCTCCCACCCCACCCTGAATGCCCCCCTCCCCACCCCCAGGGAGCACCTGCTTCCTGCACGCCCCTGTGTAGATGCAATCGGGTGGAATGAATCTTCACTGTTTCCTGATGTATGATGAGCATGCTTGAGCAACGCTTCCAGTCAGTGTGCTGAGAGAAACTCATACATGTCAGAGTCATAGATAAAGGTTTTCAGAATGGCATGTAAGCAGTGTCATATGGAGCTTGTGCAAGAGGCAGCACAAGGTGATCTACCCTGAGAAGAGAGGGTGAAGGAGGGCAGCTCTTCCTGAAAGAGGCACACATGAGGTCTGTTTTAAGGGGAACTAGGTAATTTGAGGGAAATGCACCCCTTTGCCATTGTTAGGGTGAGTGAAACTGTCACAGGTGTGCACAGGTGTGCACAGGTAACCAGGTTCTTAGTGATCGAGGACAAAGAATTGAACCGAACACACAAAGTTTATAGCATAAAGAAAGAGGGGAGGTTTATTAAGTGATAGTACACACCACAGGACACAGGAGTGAGCCAGCTCTGAGCAGAGGAAAAAAAAGGGACACGTGGGCTG